AGACTGATTTCCTTTAGGAATGACTGGTTTGATCTCTTGCTGTCCAAGGGACTCTCAGACCAAACCTGAATCCAAAGCAAAGTGAGTGAAGGAGCAGAGTAGCAGTTTGCTACAAACCACCCCAACACTGAGTGGTTTAAAGCAACCATCATTTGTTATTCTTCTAAGTTAGCTAGCAGGGGAAGTCCTGCTGGTCTGGGCCAGGCTGGGCTTGGGCTGGTCATGTAGCCAGCTGGTCTGAGCTAGTTTTGCTCCATGTGGCCTCTCCTCTAGCAGGCTAGTCTGGGCATATTTTCATGGTATAAGCAAGGCTCTCAGACAGTGGAAGTGTATAACACTTTTCAAGCTTCTAATTGCATCAAGTTTGCCTCTGTTTCATTGGCCAGAGCAAGTTACAAAGTCAATCCCATAGTTGGCATGGGAGGGTTACCCGTAAGGGCATGCATCCAGTGAGGGGTGAAATTTGGAATAATTCAACCAATGTACGAAGCACAATTTAGGTATTTTTTCATAGAATTTATGTTGCCAAGACAGTGATTTTCAAGTTTTCCATGGCCTGAAAAACCCATTTCTTTGGATCTTCGTGCCCTGGTCCAGCCTGATCCAGAGAGGGTTGTGGTGAAAACTTGCTTGAGCTGAGTCAGATCGTGTTCTGCCCACACTCCGAGCTGCTCCACCTGCAGCTGTTAAACCACAGAAGGAAGGAAAAATCCAGAAACTATAACTGAGCAGCCTCAATGAATCCCATGCATTTACTGCCGAAGTCTAAAGTGCAAGTCTCCTGGTGGGCAAAAATTAGAACTCTTCTTTCCAATCAAGTTGATCTTCTGATAGGAAAGAATTCTCCAAGGTATTCTACCCAGCAGATTGAGATACTTTTAGCCAGACATGAAAGCATCAGGAGAATGTGCCAGCTTACCCAGACGGGTTAGCAATAAATTACCACCCAGGCCAGTCAAGGAAAAAGAGTGCTGACAAGCATTGGAGAAGACGTTCTCAGAGCTCAAGCCAGAAAGCTGTTTGAGGACACGCTCCTGGAATAACTTCCTCCCACAGGAGGGAGGGAAGAAAGTCGGGTGGCTCCAGAAGATTCAGAGTCATGTAGAACATCTGGCTGAGGAAGGAGCCTCCCAGCCTGGTGAGCGTCTTGAGGGGACAACCAGTGAGCAGGTGATAAGGGGCCCAGTGGGGAAGGGAATGGGGGGACTTCCCTGCTAGTCCAGTGGTTGCAAATCAGCCTTCCAATGCTGGGAACATGGGTTCGATTCCTGGTCGGGGAACTAATATCCCACATACCTTGGGGCAACTAAGCCTACACACCACAACTAATAACAGCCTCAACTAAGCCAAATAAATTATTTAAAAAATAAAGAGCACGGAATGCCCTTGGGAAGACAGGAGAAGGCTGGACAATGTAGGGCAGAGGGAGAGAGCAAGGCACGGCCTTGGAGCACGTAGGCTAGAGGGAAGCAGGCGGGGCATGGCTATGAGATGAGAAGGGAGCAGAGACCAGTCCCCAGACACCCTGTGGCTGCCTTCTCCCATCTTCCCCATTTACTGAACCCTGTTTCCGGCTGGGTGCCCTTCAGACACGTCACATTATCATTTGTCACAGTCTTCCACTGAGGCTGGTACCACTCTCCATTTCATGGCTAGAAGCTGACGCATAAGAGGTCAAAGGAACACATTCAAGATCAGCAAGGTACAAACTAGGGAAAATAGAATTTCAAAATAGGTATATATGTATATTTTTTAAACTCAAAACATGCACTTTGAGCCACCGTATTTGTTTCCTAGAAATGTCACAAGGTACCATGAACTGGAGGGCTTAAAATCAACAGAAATGTCTTGCCTCCCCATCTGGGAGCTGGAAGTCTGAGATCAAGAGGTCATCAGAGTTGGGTCCCTCTAAGGGAGGATCCGGCCTCTCTCCGCGGCTTGTACGTGGCCACTGTCTCCCTGTGTGTCTTCACACCACCTTCCCTACGCTTGTCTCAGTGTCCAAATTGCCCCTTGCTCTAAGGACACCGGTCCGACCCCACCCACCTCATCTGAGTTGATGACGTCTGCCATGATCCTGTTGCCAAATGAGGTCACATTCAGGTACCAGGGTTAGGACTTTAGCATATGAATTTTGGAAGAGGGTACACAATTCAACTCCTAACAGCCCTTACCCACTACCAGCCCCCAGAAGCAAGACACTAAAGGAGAAAGCATGTGACCAGCTTACTGCACTGGAACAAAGCTCTCTGCTCCTGACAGCCTTCACTAAGATAACTTCTGGCTGAGTCAGTCCCGGTAAAGAACGTATGGGTTGAATGTCCAGCACCAGCACAATCAGTGCCCGCCCGCCCCCCCGCCACCCAATACTCCCAACTATAGATGCTTCTATTGCTGCAAAGAAAGAGCGGTTATAACTGCCCCCCGCCCAGGCCATCTGGCTTTGCTCTCATCTGGCATGTCCTTTCCGGGTGCAGAGACCCTCAGGACCAGCCTTTTAGGGACCTCATAGAATGCAAGCCCCACTGCAGGGAAACAGTCTGAGTGCCCTCTTTTGCTCAAAGCCCTCCCGCTCCCCAGTCATGCTTCTGAATGAACACAGGACGCCAGCTGGTGGAGGCGGCTGCTGCTGAACGAGGTGGGCTGAGGGGCCTGGGGCCTGAGCGAGGCAGGGCCGCTGCTCGGCAAGCCTTCCGTAGGTGCTCAGGGAACTATACCCACACGACAAAAACACAGAAACACCCACCACCACTCTCCTGGGGAAATGAAGATCTGCTGGTGGAAGAGAACTCCTCCCAGTCCCGTTATTAAGCGCACTCTGGGCCAGGCCCAGGAAAGCTCCCTGGCTGGAGGCCACCTGGTACCACCTACTCCCAAAGGAAGACACCCCCACACTCCACTCCCCTTTGGCGTAACCCTGTTCTTCCTGGAACCAGCACAGAGGCGTCTGCAGGGCTGGGGGAGCCCTTGCAGCCAGCCCTATCCTGAGGCTTCCCTACTGTTGCACTGTCATCCTACAGAACACAGGTGCCCCGACAACAAAGACGCAGGAGACTCTCCCATCAGTAACATCAGATGGTGGCCCACGGCAGTGGGGACCAGAGCAGCTGACTCTCCCATCAGTAACATCAGATGGTGGCCCACGGCAGCGGGGACCAGAGCAGCTGACTCTCCCATCAGAAACATCAGATGGTGGCCCACAGCAGCGGGGACCAGAGCAGCTGACTCTCACATCAGTACAGGCACTAGCATTGCCCGCTAACTGAGCATATGCTATCACTTCCGCCCCAAATATCTGAGTATGCTCGGCTTTTTAGGAGGCAGGAACAGTTCAGAGTCAATTTAACCTGCCCTAAAGCACACAGGTAGCCAGTGTGTGTGCTGTCACCTCAGTCGTATCTGACTCTCTGTGACTCTGCGGACTGTAGCCCACCAGGCTCCTCTGTCCCTGGGGCTTCTCCAGGCAAGAATACTGGAGTTGCCAGGCCCTCCTCCAGGGGATCTTCCCGACCCAGGGATCAAACCCAGGGCTCAGTTTCTTTACCACTAGTGCCATCTGGAAAGCCCACACCGGCAGCCAGCCCTTAGAGCAATTTCCACGACCGAGGGAGTGGTGATAAATGTACTTTGGGAGCTAACGACAGCTTGGGCGCAACAGCAGCGAGCAAAGGCATCAAGTCTCAACTCGGTAGGTCTTCTGTTGACTGCCCATGGATGGACTCCGATGAAGAACACAGTTAGGAAATCGCTGCAGTGCTAATCTGAGTCCACTCACCCTGACTGCCCACAAGCTTGCACTTTCCCACAGAAATGCGGACATTTGCTCCAGGCCAAGCTTCTCTCCTCTACCTCTAAGCAGCAGGCAGGAGCAGGGAGGGAGAACTCCAAACAGGTGCCATCCCCACCTTCTTGCCAGCCTGGCCCACAGCCCCAGGCCCGGCCTTTGTCTGGGGCCATGGGCCCCCTGGCAGCCCCAATGCTCCCCACTGGGCCCACAGTTCAGCATTTTCAATCATATTTCACTAATGGCAACACACTCCAGTATTTCTTCCTGGATGACCCCACGGACAGAAGAGCCTGGTGGGCTACAGTCCGTGAGGTTGCCAAGAGTCGGACATGACTGAGCGACTAACACTTTAGTCAGAAAATGGAGACTTCTCGATGGGCCTGTCTGCACTCAGCTGACCCCACACTTGACACCTTCCATGGTCCAGGGGAGGCGAGCTCCGAGCTGATAACCAGCACGCTGGGGTCACCTCACCTGGGGAAGAGGCAACAGACACATCCTTCCAGGGGCACTGAGGGGAGGACTGGGACAGGCCAGGAAGCCTCTGTGGAAAGAGATGTGCCGGGCCCCGAACAGCCCCTGGAGCAGGGCTGGCTCCAGAGTCCTGAGGCCCCTACAAATGAGCTGCACACTCCAGGGGCTCCAAGTCAGGGGCAGAGCGGTCCCCTCTTCCCGGAGAGGGTGGTTCAGGCTGTGCCTGCGAGTCAGGCTGGGAAGACCACAGAAGCATCACTTGGCGTGCCCTGTGTGCGGGGATGTGGCAGAAGTTCTTCCAAGAGCAGGGTCTGGGTCCAGACCGTCCTATAGCCCAGCTTAATCCAGATGGAGAGATGGGCACAGCAGTCTGGGAAACAGAGGGAATGGGATTTGGGGGCGGGGGTCGTGATACAGGGCTGTACACAGCAGCTCATCAGGAGGTTGCCCTCACACACAAAGCTCTGGGGAAAGCACCCCAGCTCCGTCCTGGCTGGGCTCCCCCAAGGCCCTCTGAGGTAGCTGGAGGGGACCCGCCAGGCTCTCACCTGTCAGAGAGGGGGCCCCTGTCCCCAGAAACACGCCCCGTTCCAAAGCAGCCAGGCTCCCGGTTAATCCATCCTACCTGTGAGCGCATGCAGGCCAACCCCGGGGGAGAGTGCAAGCCCGCCGACCAGCCACACCAGGAGAAGTTAGAGTGAGTGAGTTCCACCACCTCTTCCCCACGTGAGGACACAAATCCCATAGTAAATTATATTTTATTCCATGTACACAAAACTCGGAGCGGAAAGGGGGTGCCGGGGAAACAGCACACCAGTGAGCAGCACGGGGGAGAAGCTGGTCGTGAGTCCGCAGGTGCCCTAAGTCAGTGAGCGTGGGGTCCCCAGGGCGGGCGGCCATCCATCTGGGCAGGAGCCTCGGTCTGCTGGCCTCGATACAGAGACCAACGCAGCCTGCACCTGCCCGCTGCAACCCGTCAATGACGCCCGCCTTAGGGGCACATCTGGCAGCACAGTGCCCTTAGGTGTGAGGGGAGGTGTCCCATGACGTGGCCGCCAGTGGGGCAGGTGGGCCAGCAGAAGGTCACCCTCCCCCTCGCTCTAGAGACCAGATAATTTAAAACCACAAGTCCCCAGGCGTGCCAGACGCAGAGTCTCTCCTGTTCATCTGCACAGCCTCCTCCAGCGGCTCGGATCCGCACAGCGCAACACCGTTCTCCCCCCGCCTCGAGCCGTCTGCCCCCGCTGCCCGCCCTGGAGTGTCCAGGTGGCTGTGGTCCCGCCCGGGAGGTGGACGGGGCTCGCCGCTCCCAGCTGCTCTGGGCCAGGGTCTGCAGGCTGGGCGCTACAGCAGCTTGACGTAATTCTGTGGAATCAGCCCCCTCTTGCCATTCAAAGTCCCCTCCAGCCAGCCAGGCTCCCTCGAGGTTTGCACTGGAAAGGAAGAAACATCCCTTGTTATCAGAAGGCCCCACTGAAATCCCCGCCCCGCTGTGCGTCACCCCCGGCTTGTCTGGTTACAAGTCTGCACGAGAGTTATTTACAGGGGCCCCCTCTGCCCCCGGTCACCCCAGCCTCCAATTCTCCTCCCTACGGAAGCCTCCTAACCCATCCTCAGCATCCAGTCAGGCTCCTCCTACACCATAGTGCACCAGGGAGCTCAGTGAACTTTCCAGAACATCCGGCTGATCACAGCACGACCCTCCACTGTCCGGAGGAACAAACCCAAGCTTCGAGAGGCACCTGGCCCGGCCACCTCCCCACCCATCCCGACTCTGCCCACAAGCAGGTCACCCGCAGGGAATCACCCACAGAAGCCCCCAAGTGAGCCTCCAGGCCTCTGCATGGGCAGTGCTTTCCGCTGACGCCTTTTCCCCCCACTTCTGCACAGGGGATTCTTCCTCTTCAGAGACCCCCAGACACCCTCTCCTCTGGGGAGTCGTCCTTGGCCGTTCTCAGCAGTCGCCAGGCCTCACCAGCATCGTCTGGGTGCCCTGTCTGACTGGCACCCGCGTGGGGCGTTCCTGAGGGCAGGGGGAGGCCTTCTACACCTGGGCCAGTGTCAGGCGACTCCAGGTCCCACAAAGAGCCATAACGACACACAAGACAACGACCACAGGCTGGACAGCAGCAGGCACAGGGTCTAAGCGCTCGTCACCAGGTCTGGACGCATCTGGTCTCCACACAGCCATGGGGAGATCCCAGCTCAGGCCAGACCAAGAGCAGACGTGGAAGCCACATGCACAGAAGGAGTGCAAGTGTGTCCCGGCCCAGCAGAACAGGTCAGGAACTGGCCGAGCACTGCAGCCGTGACCACAACCCATCAGAAGATGGCTACTGTGTAGCTGAAATCCAGCACGTGTGCCCAACACACAAAAGCTCCATGGGATAATACTTCTATGTTCAATGCACTTTTTTTTAAAATAATGCACTCTTTCCTATTTTTCAAAGCTGACTGCAACTCAGCAAATGGAGTTCAGAACCCACTCCTGTGTAGCAACCCACAGTCTGAGCTTTACATGGCTGGTCCTCTGCGCTCATGCCCATCAGATATCTGCTGAGGCACCCCACCCGCCCTCCAAGACCACTCTCAATGCTTCAGACCAGGTCAGAGTCCTCATAAATAACCCCTACACATGCCTTGTGTATGTGCACGCACACGTGCATACATGTGTGTACTGGGGGGGACGCGGGGTGTCTCATGAAAACATCATCTGCCCTGAGACCTTACACACACAGCGCCCGCCATGGGATATGGGAGGCACTGCCCCAGAATAACAGCTTAAGCGTTAGGCGTCTCAACACTTCATGGCAAATAGATGGGAAGAAAGTAGAAGCAGTGACAGATTTTATTTTCTTGGGCTCCAAAATCACTGCAGACAGTGACTGCAGCCATGAAATTAAAAGATGCTTGCTCCTTGGAAGGAAAGCTATGACAAACCTAGACAGCGTATTAAAAAGCAAAGACGTCACGTTGACAATGAAAGTCCATATAATCAAAGCTATGGTTTTTCCAGGAGTCATGCACAGATGTGAGAGGTGGATCGTAAAGAAGGCTGAGCACTGAATTGATGTTTTCGTACTGTGGTGCTAAAGAAGACTCTTGAGAGTCCCTTGGACAGCAAGGAGATCAAATCAGTCAATCCTGAAGGAGATCAAACCTGAATATTCATTGGAAGGACTGATACTGAAATTGAAGCTCCAAGACTTTAGCTACCTGATGCACAAAGCTGACTCACTGGAAAATACCCCAATGCTGGGAAGGACTGAGGGCGGCAGAGGATGAGATGGTTAAGACAGCATCACCAACTCAATGGACATGAATTTAAGCAAATTCCAGGAGATAGTGAAGGACAGAGGAGCCTAGCATGCTGCAGTCCATGAGGTCACAAAGAGTGGGACATGATTTAGTGACTGAACAGCAAAGACAAAGGGTCTTCCATTGTCTGTGACCTTTAAGAACCTCAATAAGAAACAGTCAGTCTGGGAGCATGGGTTCTGAATGTGGTCCCCATGTGTATTTGCTGCTGCAAAAGAAGGGGCCAGAACTGCAAGGCATGGAGTTCACATCAAATGATATGCGAGTATGCTGGTGGAGAGGGAGGGTGTCAACACATCAATGGCATCTCTGGGGTAGCTGGCCTGGGGGAAGGCCTGAGGAACACCCAGTACTCCCTGGGTGCCCCAGCCAGCCATCCAGACCAGCATCACAGAGCCCCAAATCTGAGGGCTCTGTGCCTTGGCTCAAATTGGAGTCGGGTCCACAGGGCACCAAGCAAAGCTCTGTGGTCAGCAATAGCTTCCTCAGATGTCTGTTCTGCACTCGTGGCCCAAAATGCTGCTCTGACACACTGCCACCCATGAGAACATCCTTGTGGATCAGGATGGACGATGTGTGGCAGAGAGAACTTAAGGAACTTGTTCAGGGTCACCCAGAAAGTGGAAAAGCCAACTGACCTCGGGCAGGTAAGTGAAGGGTTGACAATCCATAGCTATCTGCTCTCAATCACTCTCCTGTTCCCAAAACACACTGAGATGCATGTGTGTGTGCATATATGTAATTGAAGCTCCAAGACTTTAGCTACCTGATGCACAAAGCTGACTCACTGGAAAATACCCCAATGCTGGGAAGGACTGAGGGCGGCAGAGGATGAGATGGTTAAGACAGCATCACCAACTCAATGGACATGAATTTAAGCAAATTCCAGGAGATAGTGAAGGACAGAGGAGCCTAGCATGCTGCAGTCCATGAGGTCACAAAGAGTGGGACATGATTTAGTGACTGAACAGCAAAGACAAAGGGTCTTCCATTGTCTGTGACCTTTAAGAACCTCAATAAGAAACAGTCAGTCTGGGAGCATGGGTTCTGAATGTGGTCCCCATGTGTATTTGCTGCTGCAAAAGAAGGGGCCAGAGCTGCAAGGCATGGAGTTCACATCAAATGATATGCGAGTATGCTGGTGGAGAGGGAGGGTGTCAACACATCAATGGCATCTCTGGGGTAGCTGGCCTGGGGGAAGGCCTGAGGAACACCCAGTACTCCCTGGGTGCCCCAGCCAGCCATCCAGACCAGCATCACAGAGCCCCAAATCTGAGGGCTCTGTGCCTTGGCTCAAATTGGAGTCGGGTCCACAGGGCACCAAGCAAAGCTCTGTGGTCAGCAATAGCTTCCTCAGATGTCTGTTCTGCACTCGTGGCCCAAAATGCTGCTCTGACACACTGCCACCCATGAGAACATCCTTGTGGATCAGGATGGACGATGTGTGGCAGAGAGAACTTAAGGAACTTGTTCAGGGTCACCCAGAAAGTGGAAAAGCCAACTGACCTCGGGCAGGTAAGTGAAGGGTTGACAATCCATAGCTATCTGCTCTCAATCACTCTCCTGTTCCCAAAACACACTGAGATGCATGTGTGTGTGCATATATGTACATGTATACATGGATATGTCTGTGTACACACACACACACGTGTGCACACACTGTTTTTCTTAGAAGGACTCCTGCAAGCCACCGAGATACTTTAGAAGCGGAGATCTTCATTCTCCTGCATCAGACATCTGCTGACCTTTCCCAATGTCATCCATGCCGGCAGAACTAGATTTGACTGAAATTCTGACTCCCCCTTCCTAATGTCTTTGTGCCCAGAGGAGGAGTTTCTGGACCAAGTGTGTGGTCTGAAGTCCTGGCCAGCAGTGGGTTCAAGGTGAGCATCTGACCTCATCCTGGCTCCTGAGCCACGAGAACAGATAACCCAGGAAGGAAGCTGGGAGAGGTTTTCTCATACTTACAAAAAGAACACAAGGATGAGGCACACCCTTCCTGTTATGGCTGAACGTGCCCATGATTCCCGGGACTGGGGCAGCCTTCCCACCCCGCTGGGGGAGCAGCCGGGGCCCCCTGTATCCTGGCTGAGATGCACACACTGTGGGCTTTGGTGACACCCTTGTGACTGTGGTTAACCAGCCCTGGAGCTCCCTTCCTGCAGGCTTCTTACTGTGTGAGGGAATCCATTTCCATGACTGCGTTCACCAGTTCTATCTGTTTTTGTTACCTGCAGCCAAAGGCACCCTAATAGATACATCTTCCACCAAGGTAAATATCACATGAACAATGCTATGTTCAGGGGTTCCTAAGCGAATCTAATCACACCGCGTCACAGGCGGTCCAGTGGCTAAGTCTCCATGATTCCCCTGCAGGGGGAGTGGGTTCAGTCCCTGGTGAGGAACTAAGATCCCACATGCTGCACATGCTGTTCTTTACTCACCAAGTGTCTGACTTTTTGCGACCCCATGGACTGTAGCCTGCCAGGCTCCTCTGTCCATGGAATTCTCCAAGCACGGATACTAGGGTGGGTCGCCATTTCCTTCTCCAGGGGATCTTTCCAACCCAGGGATGGAACCCACATCTCCTGCATTGCAGGCAGATTCTTTACTATCTGAGCCCCTGGGAAACTCCATGCCATTACATGCTGCCGCTGCTAAGTCACTTCAGTCGTGTCTGACTCTGTGCGACCCCTGATGGCAGCCCACCAGGCTCCCCTGTCCCTGGAATCCTCCAGGCAAGAACACTGGAGTGGGTTGCCATTTCCTTCTCCAGTGCATGAAAGTGAAAAGTGAAAGTGGTCGTTCAGTCACATGCGACTCTTCAAGACCCCATGGACTGCAGTCTACCAGGCTCCTCCATCCATGGGATTTTCCAGGCAAGAGTACTGGAGTGGGTGCCATTGCCTTCTCCAATGCCATACATGAGGGTACAGCAAAAACAAATAAATAAAAGAATTCATCTTCATTTCTTAAATGGCATGTTTCAAGGCTCTCAGCTTTCTCTTCTGCTCTACGGGTGTCAGTATGAGACAGGCCTGGAGCAGGGCAGCTAACTGACCACAGTCTCCTGGCCAAACCGTATGTGTGTATGTTACAGTGGCAGGAGACTGGTCTTGCTTCTACTCTTAAGAACAAAATTTCTCCACAGAGTATAATTCTGTCACATGTGGGGTTTGCTGCTGTTGTTTGTTTGCTGACACTGACGGTAGTCTCTGGCGCTCCAGAGTACATATCCCACAGATATAGAAATCTCCTCTAAATGCGGCAACTTGCTTTCTAAAACACAATCATCGGCACATGCCATATCACTGACAATATAGCACCAGGCGTTGTGTTGATACATTCCATCTCTTCCAAACATTCTGGCTAATCAACCATTCCATTCCAAGCATCAAAGGTTCTCGCTGCTTCTCCAGATCTCTTTTGGGCAGCCACACCCCCACACAACATCACTGTTTCCATAGCAACTGATGATTTTCATAATGAGGAGGACTGGGAAGGAAGAAATCAAGGGGGAGGGAAGAGACACACATGGAACCACAGGAGGAATTTGTGAAATCTGAAACCGGGCATAGCTCCTAAAATGCTTACGTGTGACTATTAAACACACAAATAAAATCTATACCCTGGTTTCAGTATGCAAAGTCAATACCCACATCGAGAGATTCAGACACAATTCCAATGAGCAAACTCATGTCGAGCCTAAGAATGTAAGAGAACGATAAACCAAAATCGGTTGACGATAGCACTTGCCTGTAACTCAAGGCTGACAAACCCGAAGTATTTAAGAGGGTTGGGGACTCTGGGAGGAAAACAGAGGGTGCAAATTAGAAACATTTCTTGATTTCACATTGCACCAGCTTCTCTACATCAGGACAAAAATGCCCTTGAGAGTTAAAAAGTTTGGAGAAAAACCAAGATTAAAGCAGAAGTGGGCACGCCCAGGCCCTGGTGTTCAGTTCCCAGGAGCCACGTGGGCTGGCCCTCCCCATCCAAAGCAACAAGCTCCTGACAGCCCCACAGCCAGGGACCGCCTGCCTGCTCTGGGCTGCAGACCCTCTGTGAGGGCAGAAAGTGACCTCCCGCAAAGCTCCCACGGGACACTCACCATCCTCAAAGATCGCTCCAATCTCGAAGGACAGTTCCGAACTATGCTCCGCTTCACAGGGGTACACCGCCCGGGCCTTCCGACTGAGGACGCTGAAGAGGGAACGCGTGAGATGCACAGACCGCAGCGTGAGAAACCTCACCTCTCCCCCACCCGCGTTTCCCAAATCTCATCTCTATGACACCCGCGCAGCAGTGCCTTCCAGAAGACACACTAGCGGGAAAGTGAACATCGTGAAACCATAGCGCTTGACGAGTGTCAAATTCAGATCTTCCTTTTAGGGAGCCTCTCTGAGAAGCTCAGCCTGAACCTCTTCACCTAATTCTCCTCTGCGCTCAGTGGGATGCCCTTTCCTCTCCTTCAGTGTTACTAGCACCACGGGGCATGTTTATTTCCAATGCATTTCAGTTTATCGATTAAGGGAAAGCACCAGTGTCTGGAGACGGGGGCGAGTCAGTTACGGGCAGAGACACACAGTCAGGCAGCGGCACAGCCACGCAGCGAGGACACGGTCGTGCACTGACGGTCTGTTTCCACGCCCCCGCCGGAAAGGGCTGCTTGTTCTCAGCTGGGTCTTCTATATTTGACCCCCTCACTCTCGCCCCCAAAAGGCACATCAGGCTCAACTTCTCTCCGCTTGTCAAAACATCCTGTGTGTTCTCGTGGGAAAAGAACCCAGTGGGGAAGGATGGAAACCAGGCTGCCAGCCAGCTGCACACCAGGGCAGAAGGCAGCATCCCCTCTCACGGCAGGAGGGGAGCCACTGATGGGGATGGCCAGTCTGCTGGCCCGAGGATGGGCTTTGCTAAAGCACTCTGGCCTCTGCATCACTAGCCCATCAAAGGGCCATATTAATTACAGCTTCCAGCACCCCATTTATACCTGATGCAAACAGATGACTCATTGGAAAAGTCCCTGATGGTAGGAAAGATTGAAGGCAGGAGAAAAAGGGGACGACAGAAGATGAGAAGGTTGGATGGCATCACTGACTCAATGGACATGAGTTTGAGCAAACTCCAGGCGACAGTAGCGGACAGGGAAGCCTGGGATGCTGCAGTCCATGGGGTTGCAAAGAGTCAGACACGACTGAGCTACTGAACAACACTTACCTTCTGGAAAACAAAGCATGTGTGCTTTCTACCTATGTATAAGGAGTTCTTCCAAAAAAACATGGTTTCATAAATGCACGACCAGAACCAGAAAGGGTAGGTTCAAGCAGGTCTCACGTAAGGCAAATTTCTCCTAAGAAGGTACTTGCTCTTGAACCTTTAAGATAAGGTTATAAATGTCCAGAGTCCAGGAGACGGGAAGCTTTTTCCACGCGGGGAGCACAAGAACCCGCTCAGGTTGATCAAGCCCCTCTGCACGCCACCCCCATATTCTACGTCACACTGAAAACTACATACCTTTCAGGTGGCTTGTCTGCTACAGTGGCAGGAAGAGACAGGGGGAAAGGTGACAGCTTGGGTGAAGGAGGTGTAACACCCGGGCTGCAGCTCGGCGTGGTTGGAGATTGAGGGTTAAGCCACTGGACTGTGGATGATCGCGCCTGGCTTGGCCTAAGGGTGGAAGTTTGAAGAATAGAATTAATAGTATAAAGGCCATAGAACACCAAATACATGACACTCCATTCCTCAACAGCTAGGATGAGAGCTTCCTTCTCTCTCCAGATGATCCAAAGGGACAGAACCCTCCCAGGTCTGTAGCCCCAAGAGCCACACCTCAGAACTAGAGATGTCGTATTGAACTTCTCCAGGTTTATGGAGAAGATCTAGTCTTGTCCAACCTAGCATCATGTTGATTCACTAATTAGAACACCAGAATCCAATGGACAAAACAAACTGCTTGGACTTGTGAAGTATTGGAGTTTTCTGCTTAGAAGCAAAGTCACAAGAATCTATAATTAAGCCCGTGACCTATACCTCTAAAAATTCCACAGTGGCCTTTTCATGTCTAAAGTTCTTTCACCTGGTCCTATACATGTGGAAACTCAGAACAAAATGCCACTAGGAATTGAGATTCCTTTAGAGTAGACAAAAAAAAACTAGCATTTAAGGGAGAAACCAAGGAATAGCAAACCCCTGATAACCTGAACATTCCCTAGTATTTGCCAATTATGAAAATAAGTGAATGTAAACAGACCAGTAAACAGATTCATGGAAGGGCCTCTAAACATGGAGAGTTCAATAAATATATGTGGATCTGAAATAAATTATTCAATGGTCTCAAAACTGGAGCCTTGGGACTATGGTCAACAAAGCTTGCTTTAAAAGTAATGCGCCGAAAGCTGCTCATTTCATTCAAGGACATTTTCAACACACGGGTATTCAGCGCGGCTACACCCAGATGTTCTTCACCTCAATTTCACCCTCTTGGGCTAAAACCAGCCTCCACGAGCAGCTCCTGCCCTTTCACATCCCGGGGCCTTCTCTTTGATTCTTCCTGTGGACGAGAACACACCTCACGCTCTGTCCATTTCTTCTGCAGAAGCTCCAGGCCATTCCTCTCTGTACCCTCTCGTCGTAAATAGGAGGCGATCCCATTCTTACTGCTCGTGCCTGTGATACTGCTGTGGTCTCCTAGCTGAGCCCCCGGCCCCATGCTTCCCGCTCAGAGAGCTCCATCAGCCAACCCGGTAAGACCCAGTCCACCCCATCTGCCTCCCCCAAGAACCGGTGCGCTCCCCCATCCTTCCTCCAGCGGCCCCCCCAGCAGCCTGGCCATTCTGCCCACGGTTCTGGGCCCCCGACATTACCCCTCCTCCCAGTCTCCCCCACTCCTCTGCCGGTTCCAGTCTATCCCTTCCCTCAGCTCAGCTCCAGCTGCCACCCCCCCACCCCTGCCGCCCCCGACCAGCTACGTCTCCTCTGGCCTAAGTCACAGAACTTCTCTACAGGCCCACCACAACAATAAACGGGAGCGTAGATTAGCATGGGTCGTTCTGGGATGGTTTCGGGTATTTTTTTAGCCTCTGGATAACAGCAGGTTTATAATTCTGTAGATTGCATAAAGCCAGGCAGAGTGCTCAGCACAGGAAGTCTTCGAGCCACATCTGGGAACTCAATCCAGATGTTCTAACACTATACCTGGCTTTTATCTATCGAGTGCATGAAATATTGCATGACTGACTTGATAGGCTTTTAGTACAGAGAAGGTTCCTATCCTCTTCATCAGAAAAAAAAAGGGGGGGGGAGGGATGCACATTTTAAAAACATTACACTTTGGGGGTCTTCCCCAGCAGTCCAGTGGTTAAGACTCCACCCTGCCAATGCAGGTGGCATGGGTTTGATCCCTGGTCAGGGAACTAAGAGCCCACACAGCCAAAAGACTACAAGCTATTCTTTGAACAACTTCTTTACAATCCCCCTATCCAACCATTCATTTGGAAGTCATCAAATCTATTTCATACCAAGCTATAAATATATATCATCCTATAAATCCCAAGGGGGTCCGTATATCCAACAGCAAAAGTCACTCCATTCTTTAGCAGAAAAGGAACCTTTAATGGTGTCTTACTAATCAAGAAAGGACAGTGGGAGTGAAGCTCTGACAGAGAATTTAAGACCACACTTAGCCAAACAATTGCCATTTTATCTCCCAGCAATTACTCAAGGTGCTAGGGGGTGGTGGTGGCTGAGAATGAAGTGTACTACCCCACCCCCATCAACTCTTCCTGGTCATAAATAGTCAAGCAATAAAATGATGGCCATCCATCCGCTGACAGGGAGGACGGCCACGAGATGAAGACAGAGTAGCAATGTGTATATTTATAAGGCTCTTTCAAAGTGAAAGTCATAAATTTTAGAGCTATTATCTATTTCATCCTCATATCTTTCTTTTTTTTTTTTAAGAAAACTGTTTTGTTTTTTTGTAAAGGGAAAATACGCCTTCTAGAAAGTGAAAGAATTGTTGGAATAGCAGATGCAAAAGGCAAGGGCATACCCCTAGCTTGGCTTCTCCACCCTTTCCAAAGTCAAGCTCTCAACATGAGCCTTTTTTGCTTCTTGGTTTATTCTCTGTGATTTTTCTACTGTCTTTTAACACAGAGATGTGCTGGCAATCCCGCACTCAATGGTTCATAAAAAGAGCCTTCCAGACTTCCCACTGAGACCTAAACTTCTTTGTGTGTGTGCTGTATGTTCCAGTAGCTAAGTCATGTCTGACTCTTTGCGACCCCACAGGTTGCCATTTCCTCCTCCAGGGGATCTTCCCAACCCAGGGATTGAATCCCCATCTCTAGTGTCTACCGCACTGGCAGGTGGATTCTTTATGACTAGCACCACCTGGGAAGTCCTTCTTTATTTGAGTCCCTGGATTTCTCCACAACATCTCAGAAGCCTCAGCTGAGAACTTCTCCGTGGGCACGAACTTTGCAGGCTGGAGTATTTGTAAGAGGTCATAAGACACACATCTGGGGACAGCCTCCCCTGTAGGGAGGCAGTGTCGTCATATGGAGAAATGAAGTCCTGTGAGACTGGCCAAACAAGGTTCGGGAAACAGAGCGAGTGGTCTCAAGAAACTTTCCACTGGCTTTTCTGCTGGGAGCCGGGACGAGGCAGGAAGCAGTTACATAAATATACTCGAGACTGAAGGCCTGACGACTTCTCACCTCAGCCAGCAGAGGCTAGAAGATGCTTCACAGGTGTCTCCAAAGCAATCTTCCCATAATTTTTTTTTTTTTGAAGACAAGAAATAGTAAACATGAGCTTTTTTATATAAACCATTCCCTACTTTTCAGAATTTGGGTTTGGTTTTGTTTTGGCAAAAAGGATCAAAAAATATTTTTATGTATTTAAGTCTTTAAATATAATACTTATATTTTCTCAAAAAATAGTAAAGTATTACTTTTAATACATCATGGACTGGGGGAGTTTTGCAGAAACAAACACCTATGGCATTAATATGTCTCCAGCTGATAATGTGTTAAGATAGAACGTCTGATATTCTCTTTCTCTTCTTTACTTAAACATTTTAGAGGAACCCTAGGCATTTGGACAGGGTGGTGTCTGTCCTGGTAGCTCAGACAGTAGTGAATCTGCCTGCAATGCAGGAGAACCAGGTTTAATCCCTGGGTTGGGAAGATCCCATAGAGAAGGGAATGGCAACCCACTCCAGTACTCTTGCCTAGAGAATTCCATGGACAGAGGAGCCTCGCAGACTACAGTCCATGGGGTGGCAAAGAGTTGGACACGACTGAAGCGACTAACACTTTCACTTTGACTTCAAGCACTTGGGAAAGGGCACCCATAGCAAAGGTCTAGCAGTTCTTCTCAGCCTGCGCTCTAGGACGGAAGGAAGCCCTAAGGCACCCATGTACATAATGAATGAACGCCTCTCCTGCACATCTAGAAGTGCTCTAGCTATGTGCATGTTGGGAGACAATTCTACATGAATCTCTGGTGTTTATGCACTTCTAGTGAGCAGAGACTGGGTTATCTTTTCAAAGGTGTTTATGAAGCATAGCACCTTGGAAGATAGTTTGTGTCCTCCCCCAGAGTAAAGAACAGGCTTTACCACCATCATAAAAGATCTGGTTTTCCAGAGCTCTGGATTCTCTCTTGTAGCACTCCACAGGCAGGTGTTATCTGGCCCGCAGGCCTCACCTTGTGAGAAATGGGACTCAGAGAAACCCTCTGAGGACGGCTTTATCTGTGTTGAATACAGTCTTTTAACTCTGACCAGGAGTCCCATGTCCTCCGCCAGCATTCTCGGAATCATGGCGGGCCAACGTGGGAGCTTGCAAAGCAGAATCAAATTTCCGACGTCACAATTCTTCATGCCAGCATCCTTGAGAGCACTGAGAAAATACTCAGGTCATTTCTTGTATTCTGTGGTTCAGAGAAGAACTCTGGCTAAAAATGTCCTCAGGTAAAAGATCAAAACTGATAGTTGATCCAAGAATAAAAAATACTACAATAATAAAACATAAGAAATATGCTAGAATATAATAAAATATTTTGAATGTTCTCTTTTCACTTCACAAAGTTTCAGCACTTAAAAAAAAAAGAACCTATTTAATTCCTTCTTCCTCCTACCCTTTTAACTATGGATTTTTGATGAACAAGACTGAAGTGATCATAAACCACTGATTTTATTGAGTAAGAAGCCACTGACCAATTATAAAAGAGCACCTCAAGTGCCCTGTTTCCTGAAAGCCAAGTTGTGGTCTGCAAAAACTAGAGGCAGAAGTCAACTCTTCCTGAAAAGCTCAGAAACCACATTTACCAAAAGAGAAATAAATTACAGAGAAGGATGAATGTGCGTCTCTCCTCTCTTCCCAACTTCTCACACAAAACTGAAAGTATGGTGACTCCTCCCCATTTTCAGGGCAGAAGAGCCAACCTTCCTTTGAGGAGGAATGTTTCCTTCTCAGAGAAAAGGAAGAAATGGAAACAGAAGGTTTCACCAAAAAACACAGAGGTTTCCTCCTGCTAACTTAGAAACTCATGCTGGAAAACTTTCTGATACTGAAAGGCGACAGGGATGTCTCCTGATTTGGGGAGGGGAAAGGGGTAGGGAATGGAACACATATTTGTGAAAGTGATAAGAAAATTCTATC